CATTGAATACCTTATTCCGGACGCACTATAGTGAAATTAAACTTATTTTAAAGGTCATACGACGCAAGATGGTCTCTCATCTACTCCAATAAATTGTTCATAGCTAACAAAAATGATTATCTCAGATTATACGAAAAATAAGTAAGAAGAGAGTTTATTAATAGTGATTGAATATTATGTTTAAATGGATTATGATAATATTATATACTTAACGAATTATCATAAACCGCATGTAGAATGTAGATACATTTAGTATCTGTATTTTATAATATTATATAAATTTAAGGCTTATCTCGTTAAAATGAAAATTAATGACGCGAATAAATGTTTATTTTCATAGTTGTTAAACTTGATTATAGATTGATGAGTGATGACTTAAACGTTTCAATCACCTCGATCACCATACAATCTTTATTTGTTGTTTGATATTTATTGCAAGTTGCAGTAACTATTCCTATATAACTGTATAGGCCACAACTTAAATACGTTCTTTTTATCGACTAAATATATGAACAATTGGCTAAGAATGAAAATCCTTATGGGTCAAGATCGTTTCTCAGATTTAGAAGTATTTAGTAATAAGAAATTTAGAAACCTAGAAAATTGGTATCATAATAAATAATACTAAGAAATCGACAATCAAAATCATTTAAAGCATCACTATAGGTCAAAACACCGGCTGCAATAACGGCGATAGAATAAAATGACAAAAGATTAAAATCTCTTATAAAATAATTTTTGTTTTTAATTTGTTGAAATTTAAATAATTTCATACTTTGAACTTGCATTTTAATCGTTACTTGCATCTACACACACACATAAATAATATATATATACAATATATGGAGGAGTTTTTTAATCTCCAATATTATGAAACGATCAATTAAATAAAAAGCACAAACGTAATTTTTACGAAGCCAATTACAGGCGTTTTCTTAATTGTTTGTATATATTGAATGTATGAGCAGGTGTTATATTATCGATAAAATTAATATTAATATTATTAATTACTATCATACGAAATATTGCAAATATATGTACCTACCAATTTATTTTTTTAGATTTAGTCAATAATTACTGCACTTACTATAACTGTACTAATAGCCAATAATAGTAGGCAAGGTAGTGCTTATGGCAAATGAGGGGTCATGACCCCCAAAAATATCCTCTGGTATATATTAGTACTATTGGATCTATGTGTGTGTGTGTAATCCTTGTGGAGAATAAATTGGTAAATGCTAAAAAAAACATAAATATACCTCGCGATGATGATAATAATGATAAATAATAATACATATACGACATGGTACAGAGCAATCGGTATGAGTTGTTATTGAGATTAAAAACTATTAAGGACTAAAACGGTTTTAAAATTATGACGACATAAGAATATTATTATTTTATAAGTGACGAGGCGGTGACGGCAGCGATTTTTACACGGTTGATTAGCACTCGAACGGTTCGAACGTGTTCGCGACCGAGACATTCGACAGTACCTATATTAACACACCTGGTACATAAGTGGTAATCTAGGTGGTAACCTACATTACATATACTATATTACTATGTCCAACATCAAGTGCAATACACACTACCATGGTACTAAGGTCTGACTGTCTGAGGGCTGTGACTTATGAGGTCAATGATTATTATACGGGCTTATACTATTTGATGTGATTCGGGACATACCACCACTTCGGCACATACTGTTATTCATCAACAGTCGTTCTCAACAAGTGCTTTTCATAAAAATCACATGTTTTATAATAATTTATGTATGAGACTGGTAGACGTGAAAACGAGCCATGTGATAACTACTAATAATTGGAAACGTTTGTCGTTTTGTGAACGAACGCATCAATAACGACAAAACGAAATAATATACAAATATTGTGAAAATCGTATTGGATTTTATTCCTCAAAGCTAATTGAGTATACCTCAGGGGGAAATTTAATTTTCAGTGTGTATTTTAATATGATATTACCTATTTTTTTTTTTTATTAATGTTATACATGGATGTGAATAGATTAATATAGGTACCAAGCGAACAATGAACACGCTGTGTGGCGTATTCCAATTCTGACGTTTCGATATTACGACGAGATAATAACATCATATTTAGAGATTTTATCGTACGATTGTGTTTATATTATCGTACTCATATTTATGGTTCTTCAAACTCAAAGGTCAGACCACGTAATAGCCAACAGACCGTATATTATGTCCGTGCACACGATACATGATAAATAGGTATGGTATACTTTTAATAATATACTCGACAAATAATAAAATGTTATTATTGATTTCCAATAATTTCGAAAAAAGTTTGGGGTGTGAATCATACGTGATCATTTTAGATTCAAGACTTCAGGAGATATACATATGACTATTCTGAGCGTAGCGATGAATGTAGTATATTGTATTTCCAATGGTGTGGATTTTTTTCTGTCTGCCATTGACATTTCGGGTACAGGGTAATTCCCAATAATTTTCAAAGGCGTCGGGAAAAATCAAAAAAAGTGAAAAATCGATTTTATATTTTCGGCGTAACTCAATAACTAATGACCGTAGACATATGAAATTTTTATCAATTATCTATATAGTCATTTTCAAATATGGTAAAATTGTCAAACTATGTTGACTTTTTTTATAGCCATGAGATCATTTTCAAATATTGTAAATTATTTTTCAGTTATAAATTCATGAGTTTTTCTTTTCATAGCTAACATTAAAATTCCAATAGAAGATTCCCAAAAAGTTTTCTACCTTTATCAAAGAAAAAAACAATTTCACCGGAAAGTTACGCTTTTTATAGCCATAAGATATTTTCGATTTTTATTAATTTATTTTTAGTTATTAAATGTGATTTTCAATTGTACATGTATGCATGATAAGATGTCACATCTTCGATCAGAATCGTTTTTCGTATGCAATTATTTATCATTGAATTAAAGTATAATACATTCATTACAGTGATATGGTCGGCAATTAATGTACAGCAGAGTGGTACGCATTTGTCCACCTATTTAGTTTTTAGGTTTATCACAAACTTCTGCTGATAATAACACCAAAACTATTATTGTATGAACTAAAAGTATAAAATATGAGCAAAGTGTCTTAGATAATGTATAATGTATTACTATTGCTTCATTTTGAATTTCGACGATTTCAGTGTAGAGTGTAAACACTAACTATATTATAACAAAATAATATATAAATACACCTACGTCGACGAAACTAATCACATAAAAACACGAAAAATAATAAAATGTCAAAATAAATACAAACGTTTGTAAAAATCATGTTAAATATCTGAACCACACTTACAACAAATTAATCGATGTTTAATCTGCAGGTTGCAATGCTTGTTGATGGGATAAATCCGGATAACTGACAATAGGTATACCTATATATATACTTAATAAAACTGCGTTTCAACGTGTCATCAGAGATTTTCGAATTTTTAGTCAGATTTCATTGATAAATGAAAACTGTAAGATATTTAATGGTAATATTAAAGCGAGCATCAGCTATTGTGGGTATCGTAAACATCGAGCGACCGAGTGAAAACAAACCGAAAATATCATTATGTCTTTGTAAAGCGTTTTACGTGTGTTATAAATATTCGACTAATGCCCGAATATGAAAACTCGTAAAATACTTTTACTGTAACTGGGTTTTAATGATCGCGTTCGAATATAATAGTTGTTATTATACTATAAAACTATTTCATTTTATTATTAACATTTTTATAAGTCGTGAATCTCGTGCTCATAATCGTGAGCGTATTCTACTTATAACTTTTGATTTCATTTCGCGCCTTATACAGATACAATATAATATATTATCTGTGTATACGATTACACAGCAGTACACATACGGCATATGTATTATATTTTGATGTATTACATTTTCGTTTATTATTTTAATAATAATTTATTATTTGTGCTGTGGACCAGTGGCTATATATAATATAAGCATTACGCATGCATATATTTTCTACATAACCTTATCGTTCTTATTGTACCTATATATTTTTTCGCTATTATTATATTATTAAATTAAAGGTCAAAATAATTAAATAATACTATAGCTGCTTTGTCGATTGTTGTTTTAAATTATAATTTACGCAACAGCATTATTGTAATATGCAGTTTGCAGCGGTGCAACACCTATGCCATATTATATTTTTAAACTATAGTCGTATAAATATAGGTACGTACCTAAATACTCTAAATACAATACATATATATTATTATTATTTACAATAACGATTGTTATCTACCTATAATATTTATATATATATATAATAATAATAATAAGAAACTGTATTATATATTGTCGACATAAAAAACCATGTTAGTTTCCGTTCGAGATCAGATAACGATACACGCGGCGTTATTACAGAATTAGCACATTTTATTCTTTAAATGATATTTATTCAACCACATCTACAAACAGTTCAGGTTTTGAAATCGGAATAACGTTCTATACGTATAGTTACACATACGAGTCACACGTGCACTTGTGTTAAAAACTATGTTCTGAGTAACAGGGACGTAGCCAGAGGGGGGGTCCACGGGGTCCGGACCCCCCCCGAAATGTCATCGACGAAATTTTTTTTAAACGTATACCAAATAGCTGGGTATGAGGTATAGATGACTATAAACCCACGTATAATCGTATAAACTATAAACTCTATAATAACCATGTTGATAAGAAATGACACAGTACTAATTAGTAGGTACCTAAGTTAAGATAGATTTGTAATATAATAATCATGATTGTCCTTTATCAACTGACTAGATCGTAAACTTTATCTTTTATTGTTATTCTAATCGTATCGTGTATACAATTTAAAGCAAAATATATTATACCATACTCGTCTGTCGTCAGTCGATGTTTGTCTACTTTCATATAAACGTACCTACGGTAAATTTTATTTCGTTTTATTTCTGTGCTCGTTTCTGTTTCGTTTTTTGTTTTATAATAATCAAATATGAAGAGAGGAGCACTTGACAATTTTTTTAAACCTAAACCAAAAAAACCATTTACTGGTGCGCTTTTAAATCAACATGAAAGTCAAGAACATAATCAACCAGTGTGCAGCACTTCAATAATTGATGCATCAAATGTTGTGAGTACTATTATTATTGACATTGGAACTGTTTCAAATCAATTATTTCAAAATAAATCGTCGACTTCCAATAACAATATTTTTAAAAGTAATGTTTTAAATTCATTATTTATTCCAACTAAGTTTTATACTTTTCCTATTCGAGAATTTAATAAAAAGAAACTAAAATTTCAATATAATTGGTTAGAAAAATGGGAATGGTTGGCGTATTCTAAAGAAATAGATGGCGCCTTTTGTAAATACTGTGTGTTGTTTGGTAAAGATTATGTTGGCAAAGGTTCTAATCAAAAAGTTGGATCTTTAATTAGCAAACCATTCATAAAATGGAAAGATTCAATCGAAAAATTTACATCACATTCAAATACCGATTATCATCGATTTTGTACCTTAACTGCAGATAATTTTCGTAAAGTAGATACAGGAGAAATGTGTGATGTTGCTACACAGTTGAATTCATATAGACAGCAACAATGTGAAGAAAATAGAGCGGCATTAATTCCAATAATAGAAACAATTATTTTTTGTGGTGAACAAGAACTTTCTCTAAGAGGTAATGATGACAGTGGACTATTAAATTTGTCAAAACCACCAAAAAAAGACGGTAAATTTCGTGCTTTACTTCGTTTTCGAGCAAATTTTGGCGATGAAAATTTAAAAAATCATTTAATAAATAGTAATAAAAACTCTACTTATCTAAGCCCATCTATTCAAAATGAAATAATAGACATTTGTGGCCAACTTATTCGAAAAAATATTGTAACTAAAATAAATGAAGCCGGTTGCTTTTCAATTCTTTGTGACGAAACTTTAGATGTATCTGGTACTGAGCAACTATCTATGTGTGTCCGTTATGTAGATCAAAATAATCAGCTCCGTGAAGACTTTTTATGTTTTTTACCAGTATATGATCTCACTGGAGAAAATTTAACTCGAATAATTTTAGAAGAATGTGAAAAATTGGGTTTGGATTTAAATAAACTTATCGGGCAAGGCTATGATGGTGCAGGCAACATGAGTGGACAGTTTAATGGTGTACAATCAAGAATACGACAATTATATCCAAAAGCTGTCTTTGTTCATTGTGCATCGCATCGATTAAATCTTGCTTTATCTTCGGCTTTATCTACAAAAAATGTTAGAAATTGCCTTGGTGTGATGAAAGATATTATTAATTTATTCAGGAATAATGCTTTAGCGGGAGAAACTCTTAAAAGTTATATTTTAGAACTTATTCCAGAAACAAAAAAAACACGTTTAGTCGGCTTATGTGAAACACGTTTTATTGAACTACACGAAGCAGTTAATGTTTTTGTAGAACTTTTTGAACCGATTATAGTTAGTTTGCAAAATATTCAAGAGACAGATCGTGCAATTTCAGCAAAGGCTTGTTCACTTTTGGCAGCTGTAGAAAAAAGTTGTTTTATAATTTCATTACTTGTCTGTGAAAATCTTTTAAGTTTCACTCTACCATTGTCACATTATTTGCAAAGCCCTAAACGTGACCTTTCATCTGCTGTTGATTATGCTAAACATATTATAAAGAAGCTGAAACATGTGAGACAAAATCCAAATGAATCGTTTACACAAATATTTCAAGAGGCTAGGAAATTATCTAAAATGTATTTTGATACTGAAATTAAAATTCTGCGTACTACGAATAAACAAAATTATAGGGACAATTATTCATGTAATTCACCAGAAGACTATTATAAAATATCTATATTTTTACCGTGTTTAAATGGTTTTATTTTACATCTCGAAAATAGGTTTGAACAGAATTGTGATATTTTATCGTCAATAGAAATATTGTTGCCAAAATTCGCTTTAGAAAAAAACGTCGAAAAACTAAAAAATCTCAACATTTATTTTGAAGATAAAATTAGTGAAAAATATATAGCAAGTGAGTATTTACTTTGGTGTGAAAAGTGGAAAAATAATGAAGAAACCCCAACAGATATTATGGCTATTATAGACTCGTGTGATTCGACTTTTTACCCAAATATAAACTATTTGTTACGAGTTTTGGCAACCCTCCCAGTATCTACAACTGAAGTTGAACGATCATTTTCAACTTTAAAAAGAGTAAAAACACTGCTTCGAAACCAAATTGGAAATGACCGTTTAACAGGTCTAACTCTTTTATCAGTTCATTGGGAAATATCAGTTTCACCAAAAGAAGTGTTGAATATAATGGCAAAATCAAAAAGAAAATTATTATTATAAATTTTATTATATCTATGTTATATTTATACCTACATTTTTTTTATTTATACGATACTTTTTTTACAATATGTACATAACATAGCTAGCATACCTAATATAGTAACTAGTAAGTCATTACGAATTTAATTTTTGATTGATTAATAATAGAATGGTTAAAATTAGTTATTATTACTTTAATTTTTTTATTTTTTTTGGTTTGACCCCCTCCGAAATAAAATCCTGGCTACGTCCCTGCTGAGTAATTCAATACTGTCTAAGTAATACCTAACTAAAAAGTATAATATAAGACATTGCCACATATTGGTACGAACTATAAGGTGTCTCAGTACGATGAATATCAGTAGTATCACAGACAAAAATGTATAATTTATAAACGTCAAAACTTACATAATATTATGCTGAATTTAATGACATACATATCATATTTGTTTTTATAATTACTCGAACTGGTTTAATATTTGTTTTCACAAGTTAAAAATATAATGCAAATATGTATTATGTATTAATATAAAGTATATTTTATAATATCATGTTGAATGTAGTATATATTGCGACATAGTTACATTGGTGGTGTGACTAGAGACAAAACGTTTTAGGGAAATATACGGAAATGAACGGGTTTACTTCCGAAAAAATTGAAATTTGTTTTCTGAAAAAAATATTATAAAAAGTCAAATGGTCAAATGAAAATTTAAATCCATCACAATTGAATTTGGGTGATGATAACCACATTTTTTGTATTCACGATACCACCTGGTTGTGTTTATAAACATTTGGATGTTCTTAAACATGATAAAATATTAACATGTTGCAATTTATAATGTTTGTAGTTGTTGTTGTTGTTGTTCTCATGCGAAGAGGTTGCAAAACTTTCGTTGCCCTTAGCTGTAAAATCCCGAACACGCCACACTGGCCATTGGATGTATAATCGTATGTTGCGTACCGCACTCATTGCGTTCAACAGTCAACAGATATGACTTAACTATTAAGGACGTACAGAATGATAAAAGTTCGTGTTCGTTACATTATACAATGAAATTCATATTTTTAATATTTCCAAAATGTCTGGATAAATTTATAAAAAAAGTATCTAACAGTCTAACGAATAGTTTGAAAGTGTATAGGTATACCTATTGGCTATTACCTTTTACTTGTGGAAAGTGTTATATTTTTTTCGCATATCTCTATATTTATATGCATAAAAATGAATAGCATAATATGACATTAAGTATTAATTGTGCGACTGGTTGCCATTCGAAATAATCAAAATCAAAAGGACAGCTGTATTTCTTAAGGACAACAATGCTATTCATTTTATGTTAAATAATTTTTATAATGCAATGAACTCATGGCGGATACTAGGTTGTTGATACCTACTCGTTTTGTTGGTAACATAATACAAATGTTCTATCATAGCTCATAATACGTATATTAAACTATTAAAAGATTGAAATATATAAAAAGCAATAAACGACTAGTCATAGAAAATGGTAACTAATCATTTTAAAACATTTCAAATCATTTTAAACACTTACATATCTGATTACATTTATTTCGTATTACGCATAGCTGTGAATTAAAATATTTAAAAATTTAATTAACGATATTTATGTATTATACAACATTATAACCGTATAATTTATCAGAATGTTGAATGTTGAATGTTGAACCTACTTCGATTATGATTACGACTGTAATCGAAAATCGAAATTGGCAAGTTGTTAAAAATATATAGGTATCTATATATTATATTACTGAAAATTGAAATTGAAGTCTATATTTTTGTATGCACTATGTGACATGTGTATAATATGCTATATACAGTATAGCCAGTATAGGTACACTATGCACAATCTAAAATTGAGCAAGTTAATGTTAATACGAAGCGTATTTTAATATATACGTATAGGTAACTAAAATACTTATGTCTATTGAATTTGGATACAAACAGTTTATGCATATAATATTATAATAGTGAGAATTACACAACACATAATGCAATCTTCAATATTTTTGTAATGTAAAATTTAAATGACCCTGTATAGTCACGTTTTATTTAATAGGTACCGTTTTTTCAATGCATAAATATTTCTTTCCAAAATAATGACAACTTATTTAAAGACCTATTGGAAAATTATACAAATAAAAACAATAATATGATATTATGATAGGTATTTAGTCAAAATTATTATTATTATTTTTGTGATTGGGTAATTTAATACATCTATAGTTTTGTACTCACTAAAACGTCAAAGAACTGCATTGCAAATTACATAACAGGTGTTTCGTTATATGATTTTCAAGTCATTCGTACCTAGTATACTTACGTACTAAAAACCAATCATATGTCTGTCTAATATTATGATCGTATGAAAAGTTGACATAGATAAAATAGTAAATGCTGCAGTTATCGTTTTATTAATAATGATACTCTACAGTCTACTTCTTATAATACCATTTATGTGCGGCGCCTCTGTAATGCCTATGTAATAATAATTAAAATATTGCTGTATCGTTCTATTGGTTATATTGGGCTTTTACATTTTTACTTTCTTTTCCAGTTTAATGGTTAGGTACCTATATCTTAATATATGTAATTTTCGAGCGTACTCGAATCGTATAACTTTTGAATGACTTGGCTGTTTAAATTAAAAATATACCAATAGATTCCTTGAGTTTTGGAGGATATTTATGTATTAATGTCCGATTTAGGGTTTTACGGAAAAAAAATTGGAAATTTGACTGGAAGAGGTCCTCAGTTCCTCACACAATGATTTTGAGTTTTACAATGAAAATAGAACCTTTTTTTTAAAAATAGTTACATCTTATTGAGTATAATAGCAATAGAAATAATAATAATTAAAATTTTTTTTTTTTTTTTTTTTAATTGATCCTGAGCCCGGCAACTGTGGCCATTAGCTATTTGTAGGTACTGTAGGTTTTTGTATTGATGGTTTGTGGGTTTTTTTTTTTTTTTTTGGAACGGTAGGGGGAACACGTGTGTGTTTGTTTTGGCAGAATTTCGAATGGGGCACCCGTAGGTTTCTGCCATGCCCCGGGGGTGGGGGATGGCAGCACTTGCTCTCCGGTCACCGCGACTTGTCCGGAGAAAAATGCCGCCCGGTGTCCGAGGATCTAACCGCGACCGGCTGCGTCGCAGCGGAAGAGTCAGACCACTCGGTCACCTCGTCCCCCAATTAAAATTGTATTTGACTTATTATTAGAAGAAATTTGATTTTTTTTTCATTTATAAATCGTTGTTATTGGTTACTTAGGGAGATCCTCATTTGCCTTATACAGTTTTACCCCTAAAAGCATGCATAAAATCGTCTCTTTATGGCCTCGAATAAAGAAATTATAGCTTTAAACAAATATGAGAGTTGAATGTATCTATGTTTATAGCTTATATATTCAAAAACTGCGTGACCGATTTTGTGAACATTTAAAATTGTTCTTAGAGATATTAGAAAAGCTTGGAGAGTACTTTCGATTTAAGCCAAGTGCTATAGGTGAATTGCCATCTCAGTCTTATTAGTTCATAATCACAAAGCGAGGTACACCGACGCTGATTTTCCAGTGAACTAAGGTAGTGAGGTATACTAAAAACAAGATACACTTATGTAGGAAATGCAGGCATACAGCTCAATATTTGGCTATGTATAGGCGTATAGCGCTTTATTTTATATTTATTTCACTAACGATGTCGAGTTATACAGCTAAAAATGGAAGCTAATAGGCTCAAAAACTATACCGGAATTATATCAATTGATTCCTTGAGACTTGGATGGTCATGGTTTTTATAGGTTATTTGTTCAACCCTTATACTCTATGGCTAATTATTATTAATTATTAATTATTATTACTCATTTTATCACCCACAAGAATAAAATGAAGTATATTCTACTTGCCTTCTGCATAGCAAGTGATGAACCAGTTTTTAAAAGATGTCCAAGCTGCATTCACCAATTCCTTATAATGCTGTTAAATCAGGTACAGTAGCGGTCACTGCTTCCTTCCTCTATATTTTGCTTTTCTCTTATATTTGGACCCTTACACTTCAGTTCACAGGGGATTACGCCTTGGAAATAACAGTCTTCTACTACACCGCCTTTTATTGATCCTTATTTTGTCAGTTGAACCAAATATAATATAATGATATAATAGGAGCGAGTGGTTTAGATCTTTCAATCGATATTATTTCTATACAAACAATGCAAGGAAATATGATATATTTCTATACACTTGTGATGTAAGTATGCAAATGTCCTTAGTCCTTACCGCCATTACGAGTAAGTTATCAATACATGTTACGGATGTTATTCTGCATCAGGAAACCCCTCAATAATCCATCAAATTAATTATTCAATAAGTCTAGTTTTTTTTATTTAACTCTTATAATACTAACCACTAAGTTAAGGTAAGTCAAGATGTTAGTATTACGTATTTATGATTACATTTGATCTAATATGGTAATATGATATTTTTTATGAACGGCTTTTATGTTTATATTTGTTCGCTATCTATTGTCATACGCATACATATTGTTACAAATATTGTTGTGGTTTTAGGTATGAATAGTCAAAGTATAAAATTATAATGTGTACCTAACTTCGAAAAAAAAGTCCTAATGTCCGATCAATTGAAATTCTCGTGGTAAAATGTATAGACATGTCTCTTTAGATAATTATGTCTTATGTGGATTCGCGCCGACCACACCTAATCATGTACCAATACCTAATAATATAATGTCTAATGCACAAACAGACAAATTTAATGAGATGGTCACTATACTCATTACCCACGGCCAATGCCACGTCTGTACAATAACAAATTCCCACGTATATATTATTATTATATACTCCAGATATACACAATCCTCGCCTGCCTATATATATGTACTATTATTATTATTGATTGTATTTTAGGCTTGAACGGAAACCAATGGCGAGAGCTAAAAAGTTGGTATGGCTATCGACAAAGGATAAGTGCAATCAACGAATATTTCGCCCGGTCAGGTGCCTATCCCATTGTGTCCCGTGCGGTCGATGATTATTTACAAACTGCACTCCGTACGGCTTACGACGCCGTTTGTATTATTATATTATATTCTCGGACACATTCACCAGTCGTCACGCAATTTATTTATCTCGATTTCTATACACGATTTTTTTGTCGTAACGATATAATATAATGTCTCCCGAAATGATTCTCATCGCCCATTGCGTCTTTACAATACATCAATGATTTTATTGTAATGAAACCCGCAAAGGTTTTAGTACTTACTTATATTATAAATGTAAACGCGTGTCTGAATAAATCGCGAATCGCATAATAATAATATATACCTACTTTATAATAATTATTGTTATTGTATTTCGAATGTGTTCTACGTGAGTATGATAATATATTATTACATTATATAATAATATAGTTATTCTATATATTTATTATTTATACAACAATGAAAGTACGCATGTACGACGTACGAGGCTTATAACTTATAAGACTCTGAAACTACTGAACCAATTTGCCACAAAATGTTGCAGGCACATATTCCTTGAGACTCGGGGAGTGTTTTTTGTTTCATTTTTCGTACGCTGGCTCACACGTGCATTTCGTTTCGGCTCCCAAACTTGAATAGTTTTTTTTTTGCTTTTATATATACGGTTGTGTTAGTTACAGAAAAAAAAATTATTTTATTAAATCAATGACAACCAGAAATAAACATATAAAATGAAAAAAGACATTTAAATATATAAGTACTTTTCTATTATTTCTGTGTATTTTTTTAAGTCTTGACAGTATCATATAAGTATTAAAAAATTACTCGATCTTAGAGACATCAGGTAATTTTATAGTTTATACTCTAATAGACTCTATTCCTTGCACCACGCTCAAAAATATATCTAGTGCAATGTCCAATCCGAAATAGGTGGATAATCATCCATTTCAGATGAATTAGCTCGCAAAGATTTGCCGGCCAACTGAGCATTAGTGTAGTAAGTTATTGTAAGGGTATTTTTGGGATTTATGAGGATCGGCGTAATTGAATCGGCTCTTAAGTAAAGGTAGTCAATATTATATCCTTCATAAATACCTTTGAATTGGCTCCCAAGAATTTACTATTGACCGTTTTTTCAGCCCAAATTTCTGTCAGAAATGTTGAATCATTGTCAATAGATTATTTTTCGTATTACTATATAGTAGATTAAGACGATTAAGACGTTAAGAATTAATTCAATAAATATTTATATTTAGGCTATATTAGGTTGACGTAAAACTAATCGAGTATAATATGAGAACCACTGGTTAAATAATAATATTTGACAGTTTAGGGAGCCAATTCAAGGGTTAAATTTATATTTATCTAAAATTAGGAGCCAATTCAATGGCCATGAGGATATCCTCCACGAACTTTTAAAATTTGAAAAAAAAAGATGAAAGTATTTTATCCATTTTACAATGGTGTTTGTTTTTAATTTTAATTTTATATTTATATGACTATTATTATTATATTCACGATAAGTAGGTAGTCAAAATAAATAATAATTTTTCGATTTTAAATTTTGAGTATGGTTTCTGATAGATGATTGGATCTAGTTTAACTTTTAAAAACTTTTAAACTTTTTTAACAAGTGAAAATGCTCAGTACTTTTTAAGGTAGTCGGAAAAAAAGATGAAAAACGGGTTTCGGGCTAATAATCGTTGATAGGTAATCAAAATTTTCCCCAAACGTTTATAACCATATTTACACACATAACAAAATGTTCAAAATAAAATATATATTTTTTTTTTAGCTATTCAATTAAAAAAATTGTTCATTGTATCAAAAAACTCGAAAATGTAAAAATGTAATACACATTTACCTAACAAATTATCCCCTCCCCCACCCAGTACAAAGTCATAATAACTTCAGCGGACTCGAGGTACCTACACTAAAGTGTCACCATGATACCCGGTACAAAGCCGTATTTTATATTATGCCTGGTTCATTTATTCCTGGGCGAGATGTAGAGTAAAATTTAGATGTATCTACTTATAAACTATAGTATAAAATACTGATATACTATGAAATATGAATTAAAAAGAAGCAGTGATATCATTACGTTATACACACAACTATACAGCTTGAAGTTTTTGGTTGGAATATTTGATTGATTTCTATAAATATAAACTTCACAGATACATTATTTTTGTTTAGTTATAGGTACTTTATTATTAACATTTAACCTTTAAGTATTGGTAGGTACTATTTAGTATGGTACTACCTATTTAAGATTTCACATCAAATTTATTTCGAGGTAATTGGCTTATTATTATAATAACAATCATCGTTCACGAATAGATTAAATATACATTTTAATTAGCTATACGCCTATACATGGACGGAATAAAAAAACACGCGAGTGTGCATCAGTACACACAGACAGAAGTGAATACTTAAATTAATATTTAACTTTGGTTGGAATTAAAATATTTTAAATGCATATAAAATAATGAACGTTATATCAGTATATGTATACATCTAGTAAAAATAAAAATGAAAATATATATTAAGCGTTGAACAGTCCGCTGTCGCCTATAAAGACTCTATTCACATTAAAAAAAATTAAATTAAAAACACTCTGAAATAAATATATAAAGGACATAAATATTAAAGTAATAATGTGTTCATTATACATGTATACTGTATAGTATATTATTAAGATCAGCTGTGAATTAAAAATATATTTACAAGGTTGGCGCTAAAATATTATAAGACATAAATTTGACACACTATCAAAAATATGAGAAATACTATTTATTACAAAAATTAGAAAAATTCATAAGGTTGAACTGCAGGTTATATTGAAAATATGACTATAAATAAATTACGAAAAATCGTTTATACATGGGCTTTTAAATTTATTGTTTCTAAAATATTTCATAAGTTGTTTGTAATAAATTATTAATACGCATTTAGCAGTTTATAGATGTATTTTGAATTTATTCAATTTTTTTTTTTGTATAACCGATATTATTCATGATATTTATAAAAAATTAGTTGTGTAGTCATAAACGTTTAACGTATTCATTTATCCTTAGATTTAAAGATTACGAATTGATAAGTTCATATAATAATACAATATGTCCTGTAAACGTTTTATGACATTGGCCTTTTTAAAGAATTGGTTAATGGTTGACAATGTATAGTACAAAGATATTTTCGAGATGCCCAATCGTCATGTCATAAATCATAAGATCGAGGGTCATTGAAGACTTAAAGTAAAGTTTAAATATAAATGTAAATGTTTAGGTAGTATAAAAGTTACGGTAGTTAGATAGGTATTGCGAAATGAATTGTACAATCAAATTGTTTTTATGAAAATAAATAACTAGTAAACATACTATTATATTTCAATAACAATAATAATAATAATAATAATCATTATCATATTAAATCATTGACGTTATTTTTATAATTATTTTATAATATTGCAGGATGTAAAATAAATACACAAACAAATTGTTTTATACAATTTAAATAACAATTATTATAAATTATACATACATATTTCTCATAATCAGAACTTTATTACAATTTATCAGTTATCATTAATAATTTAGCTACTTATTAGCCATTGTAACAATTTATTTGTTGATAAACCGGTTATGTGTATATCTAAGTACTTTCAGTTTTTTGGTTTAGCAAATATTTATTCATTGCATATTAAACGTTTTGTCCATTCTACAGGGTTAGTGGTTACGAAATATTATTTAATAATGCTTAACTGTAATAACTACCTGTGTATCTATAAATATGTAGGCACCAATCAATTGCATTTCCCTCCGGGTCTTGCTGCATTCGATTTCAGTATATTTCAGTATAATATCTGGCCTCCAAAATTCTAACTATAATCTGTATTACACGATTTAAGATAATAATATACCTATAATATGCATCTAATGTTACTTATTCGTTTCTGATCCACGGCGGTATTGTCAAGAAACATTCAAATCTACTTACGAGACGTAGTTATTAGTTAATGATCATGGAAATTACATATATAATATTGGTGTTATTCATTAAGCGTTCGTTGATAATGTACCTATTATTTGTTTACAGGCACATACATGTTTACAGGTAGGTACTACAATATTTAGAGGTAAAGTGACGCAATCGTTTAAATATTTAAAAATATATAAATGTATTTATTTGAACTGATGTTATACTCATTAGCCATATTGAAATTATAATATTCCAATATCCAAGTAGGTAAACATTGAGTATATTGCTTAAATCAGATTAATGTTTTATTATTATTATTTATAAAGTTGTCTGACTTTGTTGTCACTCGTTAACTAATGTCTAATACGTGTAGTCACTTTTACATACATTTTATTCTGTGGTATAGTTATTGGTAAGCCAGCCATATATTTGGGAGTTTGGGTCATATTTTGCTAAAAAAAGTGACTTTCACAATCAATAAAATTGTACATCATAATGATTAGTAAGTACGGTTGGTGCTCCCGGAAATTCTATAGACCGAATAGTTTCTTCTTAAAAACAGCTAATTTTTTTTATTAATTATTGCAACCTTAATTTTTTTATTTTAAATTTAAATTTACAGAAAATCTGAATACAAATCCATCAAACTCATGGATACCTCATGAACAAAGGAGAAAAACCTCTGTGCATTTCTTGAGGAACTGAACTCTCGGTCAATCATTTAGTCACCGAGTGCCTAAAATACGCTGATGAACGGGAACAATTCGACATACCCAACACACTAGACACAGCACTCGGACGCGGATACCACCACCCAGATTCTCGGATTCTTGAGGGAAACAAGTCTATGTAGTAAAATTTAAGTTTAAATGTAAAAAAAATGTAATTGCATATATTTGAAAAATTGTAGGTATATCAGTATATCACCATTGTCGCAGATGTTAATCAAGATCAATAAAAAAAATCCATAATTTCCATCAACATAACATCGATTCTACTAGTCAATGTACCTATATAATATTATACATATTTAACTTCTTTAAATGGAAATTTAGCGAAAAATATGAATATTTAAATAATATGCATACCATTATTAATTTAGCCTTGTGATGCAGATGCTTTAACTTTAATTTGGTCTCACAACTTCAGTACGATTACAAAGACTTTTCACTTGTTCCTGGGAATTGTCTATCTTTATTACCAAGTTGCATTTAGTATAGTACCTTATAATATTAATGTAAGTAGTACCTTATAACTTAAAAATGGAAAATGCAATAATATAATTTTGGATTATAAATTATTCATGAGATTAATTTTAAAACTGATTACTTGCAATATGACCCCATCTCCTATTGAAGTCGAACGCTCAACATGTATCTCCTCGCCACTTAATTTCTCCACTTTTATCGTTTGGTATAACTATTGTACCTATAGCATTGCGGTTAAATATAAAATACGAACAATATTATCAAACTTTATAAAAATCGGTATTGATCAATTAATTTGATTGGAGTAGGTATGGTTTAATGCAATCCTACAATAAATGATAAATTTAATACCAATTAAATAAGTGTGCTTATATTAAATAACCGACTATTTAAATAACAAAATTATAATAATTTGTAAAAATTAACTGAGTTATGATTGTACGTAATACACTAATACTACTGTAGACATATTATATTAAAGTGACGATAGGAAAGAAAAAGAGAAATGTAGGTCGGGCCGGTCTAACGACCCGGTAGCAAAATAAGCAACCGCCTAGGGCATCGAACGTACGCTGTTTGAAAAGGGCGAAAAACTGTTCGAAAAATTATCCTGAGCTGCTGTCATATAATATCTATATAATTACCCGCGGACAACAGAATACGCGGGATAAAAAAAACTCAAATTGATTTTTTTTTTAAATCTACAAATTATTAGGCTTATAATATATTACATTTAGGTTTACGAACACATTATCCCCCATCGTACCCACAATATAATTTATAAATAAAGGGTTAGACTGGTATAAGAAATGCAAATAGAATCTAAGGTTTGACCGCACCTCACCAAGACACAGGCAATTTTTATCGTAATTGGTACCATAATACATAATACATTATATATTGAACTTCACCCAGACACCCAGTTATTTTATTTTATTGAAAACTAACAAGATATATTTTATAATATACTGCACATATTTAGAAATACTATTGCATTTTGTTCATGTCATAACATTTAATTCATATGCATATAATATACTCATTCATATTATATTATTTATAAGAAATAAGAATTTTATTATTTTTCAGTCAATATTTTACTATAACACAATTTAAAATAAAATACTTTATACTCTATAATCAAAGCCATAAGTAATATATCGCGAAATGAAGAAATAATACATTTAACAAGAACGCAAAAAAATAATTATATGTAATATATTATAATTGTAATCGAAATGTTATAAAATATAATGTATAAACCTAATGATCCATGTCGCCAGAGCTAAAGTTGAATAAAATAATAATAATAATAATAAAACATTGATTTAAGCCTTATGACAAAATACATAATCAATCTATACTCTGAATGTGCTCATATCAAAATACTTCTGAACTTAATTAAATTAAATAGTGTCTAAGTTATAATATATCGTACTATCGCATAGGGCATAGCCGCATAGGCAGTATATGCCTACAAGTACTCGTTAAATAAACCCTCAAGGTAGTTGTTAACATGAAGTCGACTGACCTACCTGACTTTTGTATGGAATTGTTACGCAGTGTATGTATATAGGCATTAGGCACGGACGCACAGTGCACGTATATGTACGAAGTTCATAGAAATTGTTCAAGTTCTTTTCCAACACAAAATATGCATTTATGTACATTCTGATTGTATAAATCGTTAATCGTGACTTTTTATTTATTGAATTTTGCTATGGAGTGTTTATGAGTTATGAGTTCGGTGAATGTATATACGGAACACTTGTGATTATGTTACCCACTATAAAAAAAAAAAGTAAGGCGATAGTTACGTGAAGTATAAAATATAAATTATAAATATTAAATACCCTTCAGGGGAGTTTTTACGTATTAAAAAACCGTACACTTATGATTTCACTGGCACCACTATTCTAAAGCAGTCTCAATATTATAATATACTACAGTTGATTTACACAATACATAATAGGAACCTACTAAAGTGCTTATTAACTATTTTTTTGTCATGAGGTACCTATAAATGTAATATAATAACTATAACAGCTCCCTTTGACTAGGAGATTTTTTTTATTTTTAATTAGAAACCATAGAAATTAAAGCCTTTATATATATATTGGCTTTAGTATTATTTTTTGTGTTTTTTTAATTATTACTCGCGAATTAAATAAAACTAATTATTGTTTACAATTGTTCAAAAAAACCGATTTTTAGAACAACTTTACTTGAACTATTAACTTATTTGTTAAAAACGTTTAAAAAATTTAACTTTCTTCCTGGATTATGACTCTTAATTATTTTATCATAATTTTAATTTACAGTGGATGTTTTTCATGTTTAATACAGCTAAAGAATTTATGCTTTAAGAATAATGAGCACATTTTAATAAATTAAGGTACTATTATACAAGGTACAAAATATAAAAATATGATACGAATTATAGGAAATAAGTAAATACCTATAGTTAAGAACCTGAACATTTTAAAAATTAGCCACTCCTTCAAAATCAGTTCCTCGTTACTCCCTCCTAAATGCGGCTCTGCCTGTCGGCTGTTTATCAATTATATTATTTTTATATTATAATTATACTGATATTACATTCAAGAGTTGAGATCAATATAATAACTGTGTAACAGCTATATTATCAATGTTTTATTTATAAAGTAATACCTGTAAATGTGGTGAAGAAAACCCTCTATAGCTCATTTTCAGATGATTGGGAGCTGTAATTAAGTTTTGTACAATTATTTTTAACATTTTTGTATTTTTGATTTGACCAATAGTTTCTCATGTAATATATGTAAGTAATAAGTACATTGTACATGACCAATAAACTAGTGACGTGTAAACTAGCTATATAGAAAGGGACTATTAATATTAAATTGTTTATTTCGTCATGCACACACATACAACTCTTTTTTATACATGCTAGAATACAGATTGGTTTAAGAATCTAAATAAAATATGTATACATACTTATTTAAATTAAATATTATGATTTACATATATTATTAATAATTTCCTTTATTGAGAAATAATAAATCAACTAAACATCCAAGTATAGACCTATTATTAGCTTTCATCGAATTTTTTCAAATATAATAAAATAGCCAATTATCTCATATAATTGGTTATTACTCATTAAATTGTATAATTTATTCAGGTTTTTACATAACTATACAATATGTTTCCATGATCAGATATTCAGATGAAATACAATTTAGGTATATACACGCAAACATGTGTAGTAAATAATTTTTAGTGGTCACTATTATAATATAATTAATAGTCAATTGCACTTACAGCATATATTTTTATATTAATTTCCATTGACTCATGCAATCATTATAATTCTATAAATCTGTAAATTTAATACTTTAACATTTCACACTTAACTAAAATTAATTTGTATGCTATTATAAAGGTACATTTAGACTTTTGGAGGTAATTAGTTTAAAGTGCAATCCGCCCCATTGTACAAGATATGAAAGTTAAAGTCGATGGGCGTAAGTCTAACGATAAATAGTATAATATAATATAATATACACATGGCAACTATATTTGACGTTGACTATTGAAGGTGTGCATATATATTATATTCAAATTTCTTAATATACATAATTCGGTAGATAATTAATTGACTAATAATTTAAATAATTATACTTTGTAATGATGCTTGAACGTCAAGTACATGATATAAAAAAAGTAATTGTTTTCAAATAATAAATTACTACCTGTGTAATTTTATAACACATTGAATAAACTTGTATTTCATAATAGCTTTTGGTTTAATTATAATCTATGGAGTTTGTGTTTTATTATCTACAAGAGTCCTATAATACTACAATACTATTTATTAATTATGAGAAGTTAAAAACATTATGGACTATGGTATGTACAAATTATTAAGTGGTCCAAAAAATTAAATTCCGATAAGGTTATCGGAAACTTTACAGTTGAAAACTTCAGAACATTTTTAATTTGAGTAGAAGATATTAAATTAAATATAATATGTACATACGAGCACTATAATAGTAATATACGTGTTAGCAATTCCGTCCAACATTGCCCATGCCAAATAGATTTAAATAGTAAATACAGTCCCACCGGACTCGCTGAGGTCATAAGGATTGACGTTCTAAGGAACCGTATACATTATCATATATAGGCAATCCACACAGCGATTAGAGTAAGTGTATCGTTTTTGACTCTAAAGTTTATCGTTTTTACTTATCTAATCTAAGGTGGATTGAATCCAATGTGCCATCGTTTGTGCGATGGTTTTTGGGTAGGTATGTTAAAATCTTTAAAGTATAGAAAGCCACGTATGCATTTGATGGCCTAACTATAGGTATTATTTAATCACTTCAAGAGATTAACGTTTAACTAAACCACTTGGTCAGCGAGCAATATATTACCAGAATTAAATTTAAAATAATAATCATTTTATATTGAAACAAAATAGTTGGAAATTTGAAAAATACCGTAATTAATTAAAAAAAAATGCAAAACGGACATTTGCTGCCAATAAGGAGCTTATTCAAGGTAAACCACCTGGTTACCTATACCTGACGCCTTATACCCATTAAGGTAGATTCACACCTCGTCGCGTCGTGTAGAGTTGAATATATTCAACTGTTAGGTAACGTGTGACCAACATTTTGTTACCTATGTATTAAATATACGGAACACTAAATGACACGTCGAGGTGTTAATCCTCATTTATACCTTAAAGACCCCGATACTCTGTAACCCAAGGCAAGGCGAAGGAGAGATACGGTTTGAAAATTAGGAATGTCACTTACTAAAAAATAATAATTCTTACTAATTAGTAATTTATATTATAATCATTATAAATTGTAATCAATTGTATAAACAAAAATATATTAGATTTCCATATTCCTCCCCTATTTCATCCCCTTCGAGATGTATTTTCGTGACAAAAATTAGGTTATGCTTTTGTCCAAAGTCTCGTCTTACTCTATACCAAAATGCATCAAAATTGGTTCAGTAGTTCAGTCATGAAAAAGTAACATACAGATAGACATAACGATGACTTTCACATTTATAATATTAATAGCATGGATTTATGTAAAAACAATACAGACAATATAGACTACCGCTTAATATAATAACTTATACGTGTATATAAAAAACAACATTATTACTTCTTTTCTTATTTTAGGGTTTAGAATTTTTAAGGTATTACTACTTTACTATAACTTATGAGATGATAGTTTTGTCTATCATGACAATGATTGTTGTTTCAATAAATTATAGTGACTCACAAAATTTATTTCGTCCAGAGCCTCACAAAACTCGAAGAGTGGGTATTGATATTAACTTTTTGATATGATGTTATGATGTCTACAGGTGGAAATCTATGAAAATTTCAGGGTTCGCAAATGTTTTTAACATAATTGTAAGGGGACTTCAGCCTCACACAACTTAAGGTCTGTCTATTTTGGGGGGGGGGGGGGAGGCTGATTAAATATTTGGGTGCTCAGCCCACCCAAGCCCCCCCATTTTCACCTATATAACGATGTCAAATGGTGAATATAATTAAATGTTTATCAACCTACTGATCTCCCAAAAATATTGAATGTAGAACAATCCAAAATGCAAAAATTAAACATACACCTTGTGGCGTGTGTTCCTAAATTAATTTCATCCAACTAGACAATATCGGATTGGTGATAAGAAAAATTGATAACCTTCACTCCAGCTACTTGATTAAGAATGATAAAACCAAGCAGCTGAATAAGCTTCAAGGACACGTGGATTGTTCATTTAGTTATGTTATTCGAATATCGATACGAACACATCCGTTGGTGAAATCTGGCGAGATCTAAACCCGCCCGGTTCGGCCGGGGTAAGAACGGCCGAGGCGACCACTAGTTATATTGTTTACAGAATACTCGTGGCGAGCGGGTAACCGCAATATTTTCCGTCACTCAGCCTTATGAAACGGTCTTCGCAGGCGCTTTCTCCATGTCCGTCTCCATTGTCCGATTCTCGATCCAACCGTTTCACGTTTTTTTTGGTTTTTCTCGTCAACGATTGCGTATGTATACAGTGTTGTGTAGTGCGACGAAATTCCGGTCTTGAATCTCGATCAGTAACCAACAGTGGCGAAACGTGTCTCAATCACTTCCAGCCTGAAGACATGTGCACTCGCGTTCCTGAGGATTATGCGGTGGGTAGCACATCTGGATGGATATACAAAGTTTCCTATATTATCCTCAACTTTCTTTTAGGGATATCTGAGACTGAACCCTTATTAATAAATTAGAAATGATTGAATTTTAGATTCTGAGTGGAGTTAACAAATTAATTGTTTGATTTACAACCGCAAAGCGATTTCAGGTGACACCTACCACCGTACTACCGTAGGCTCATTACTCATTCGATATAGATATAGATTATATTTTGAATTTGAGTGAAATCTGATATTTAAACGAAAAAGAAAGATTTTTTTTTTTTTTTATTGATCTTAAGCTTCGGCAACTAAAGGCCATTAGCTGTAGTAGGATTTGTATTGTAGGTTTTTATTGTATATTTTTGGACGATAGGGGGGAACACGTGTGTGTTTGTTTTTGGCAGAATTTCGAATGGGGCACCCGTAGGTTTCTGCCATGCCCCGGGGGTGGGGGATGGCAGCACTTGTTCTCCGGTCACCGCGACTTGTCCGGAGAAAAATGCCGCCCGGTAGCCGAGGATCGAACCGCGACCGACTGCGTCGCAGCGGACGCGTCAGACCACTCGGTCACCTCATCCCCCAAGAAAGATTTATTTTCAAAAATTATAGTTAATACTACCGTGTTGTACTTCAAAAAAAAATAATAATCGTAGGGATTTGAACCTTTTCTCCGTATCGTATAAATATATAATATTTACCTACTTGGCTACTTTTATTATTATATTCTGAACACAATTACATTTTCAAAATATTAAATTGAATTATTTCTCGAACCTATGCACAGTGATATAATATGTTACGTGATATTTATATGTTGATGAATTTTAGATATTTAAAATTAAAATAACTATTTAACCTCAAACGTATTATGTAATTATTACAGTAAATTGCAATACAAATTCAATTGAGCATTTTGGATAGAGCCATATAGATGGTTTGAACTTAGATGTAGTTACGTTAAACAATAATCTTATATTAATAGAACTTGATCAAAAGTTTGAAGTTCATTAAACTTAAAGGTTTATAATTCGTTACCTATATTTACCTCAGTACTTAAACGTCTTAAACCTATGGTGCAGGTATACAAATGAACCATTGGATAGTCGCCACTGCAACTTACTGCCTAATGTCCTAATGCTTATATGTATATGTAGGAACGCCACGAAC